CGGCGCCAGGGTTCAAAGTCCAAAGCGCGAGGAAAATCTGCGCTGAAATTGTTACTCGTCAGTTGCTCAGTAACATTTTTGTGAATTTTTCTTAAAGGCATGTGACAATGTGATACGTGCGACAAACATCTTCCCAAATTCGTAAAGAGAATCATTTATAAAGCTGCATGCTGTTGCTAACAAAAAGAAGCACTGAGATCTTCCTGCGGGTTTCTGCCAAAATAAAAGCCGAGAAAAAGCAACAACTCCACCGACATTCATAAATAATAGTATTGCAATTTTACTGTTGTTCTGTAAAATAAAATAAAAAAGCAAGACAATAATAATGATAATAATAATTACCCCACCACTGCTCTATTAATATATTTACTATAAAAATATTTTTAAATTGTTGTTTTGTAATTGATTTTTTATTTGAAAAGCAGGACAAAGCAGTAAAAAGCACATTTTGGCTATTTAAATTACGCAATGGTGAAAAAAAAATGGCAAAATGGGGGAAAAAATTTGAAAAACCGTGTTATATGACAGCTTAAAATGTTATCTGATCGAATGAAAAAAACATACAAGACAAACTAAAATATTTTCTTAATAAAATAAAATAATTATTTTTTTCAAATAAAATAATGGCGTTTTTTTAATAATTAAAAATAATCTGATTTTGTAGTTTGACAAGGAACACATTGCAATCATGCTTGGGACGGCCCATATAAACGAGCAAAAATGCTTTACAGATTGGAGATTAAAATAATAGCAGATTTGTCTCATTTTAAATGATTAATAAAAACGGAGATGAAAAATTTACTTAAGCCATAATTTTAATGTTACTATGGTAAAATAAATGTTCAGCGAGACGTGTGAGGGCTCGCGCTCTTCAGAGACAATCACAGAATATGACAGAGCTCGTGTTTTAAAGCCAGACACACTGGAATGAATAATTTACTTAAAACGCAACGCAAGTCTCTGTTCTCTCTGCAATCTCTGATGTAATCAGCCTGGTTTCCTTTATATTAGCGCTGTTTTGGACGGATTGATTGAATGCATTTGCTTACTGGATCATTGGACTGAAAACTTTCCCGGAGTTTAGCAACTTAAAATGATCTGATCGCAAGCAGAGAAGCAAAATTGTGTTAAAAGGTTAGAATGGAAATTGTGCTTCAGTAATTTTGCGTTAAATTATTTTAACGCGTTAAGGATTGTAAAATTAATCGCATACGTTAACGAGTTGACGTTGACAGCCCTAATATATATATATTTATATAAGAAAAATTTTGCGGGGAACCACTGTAAAACATTTTTATAAATTAAAGGTTTTATGAATTCAAACAATGGTCCTTTTTCATTATTAAGATTTAATTCAACCATTACAATGGAAAACACAGAATTTGTGAAAAAATAAAACAGATTTCATTGGGCCCTACAAATCCCTAAGCCTACATATAAGCAATAACAGAAAGCACCACTAAATGCAGAATGAATGATATGGCACTGATGGGCTGCTGCATGTTTTCGTACCTGAGCTGTTTGAGGAACTGTATGTCAGAGCTGCTGCTGATGAGTTTGATGAACTCCTCATAGGACGGCGCATATGTGTACGCTTTCTTATGATGTTCGTTCACCTGCTCTCGGTGCTCTAACTGAGCTAGCAGCATGCGGTTAATGTAGTCTGGATCGCTCAACACGTCCACCAATGGCTTTAACACTACAAAGAGAAAGAGAGAGAACATGTTAATAGCTTTGTGCTAAACCCAGTGAGCTGACAACCTCTACATGAGGACTGTTCCAAAGGGTAGGCAGCATAATTATATTGCCTTCCATGCATCACAAACGACAAGCTACTCATAATTGAACTACAGTCAAGCAACCCTTTTAAAAAGGTAATTATTGTAGCTACATATGAAGTTACTCAGAAAAAGTAGCTGCACAAGTTTTCTAAATATTTATCTATCCAATTATATTATTAATGTTTACTATCAAAGCATTTCATAAAAGCAAAATATCTCAATTAGGGTGATAGCATTATATGAACATATTCAGACAACAACTAAAAAATAAATTAATTATAAATTAATTACGATTTCCATAACTGAGAAAAAACAGTGCATCAAAATATTTCACTTAAAAAAGAAATTATAATATTAAATTAAATTAAATTAAATTAAATATTTACAAAAAATTAAATGAAAATTTAAAACAATAAAATGAAGGAAATAATTTTTAAAAAATCACGAATCATTCTGATTTGTGAAAATGCAGTCATCTGCACATATGAGCTGATGAATCATCAAAATCAGTTCAGTTGCACTATATGAACAAATGATTAATTAAAAATCATACTTCCCAAATCTATATATGAGAGCATGCATTTGATTATGTAAAAACAGTGAAAAACAAATATTTGTATTTATTTTACAAACACAAAAGATCTCAATTAGGGTGACAGCATTACATGAACATACATATTTAGACTAAATACAACAACAAAAAATAAACAGTTTAAATCAAATTAATTACAATTAATATAACCAAGAAAAAAAAATGAAATTTTTAAGTATTTAAATGTAAATCTCAAACAATTTAAACAAAAATCAAAATGAAGGAAATCATTTTTAAAAATTAATTACTTATTCTGATTCTTGAAAATGCAGCCATCTGCAAAGACACCATTTGAATCATCTGAATCAATTCATTTGCAATAAACTGTATGAACAAATCAATTCTGAGTCAAATTCTACCATGCATTTCACTTCTTGAGGTGTGCTACTGAGGTCAGATATGGAAATTCTGCCAATGCAGAACTTCAAATCAATCTTTTATCGAAGTTTTCTTTTAGTTAAAATGCTGCCAGAGAGTAGCTGCTTATGTAAACTGTAGAAAGCAAGGCAGCTCACTAACACAGTAAAAAAAAATAAAAAATTTCAAAGTTTATTGGAGTCTGTTTTACAAGAAAATACTATTTCAGTCTTTCTACTTCAAAATTTAATGTTTAATTCAATTTGTTTCTTTGTAATTATTTGTAAAATTTACTAGCAATTTCTGAGTGAAAACTGTTTCAAAGTAAATCGTACAACAAATTATTTTCAGTGTACAATTGGTTTTGGAACAGAGTTACACTCAACAGTCCACAATTAAAATTAAAATCAAACTGTTCTTCTCAAAACCTCATTGCGCTTTAGTCAATCTCTCCTCCGTCACTCATCATGATGAGATCTCTAAACCTCCTCAGGAGCTTGTTGACGTAGCGCTGATGAGGAACGCTGAGACGCAGCAGACGGAGCACGAGGCAGTGCCTCATTACTGCCAGACAGAGCTGGCGGATGACGTCTCACCCTGAAAAAAATGGGTGGCAACCTGCCAGTCTGAGACAACAGATGCAAACGCTTCCTCCAATATAACCCCAGACCAGAGGAGACAAGAGCAGCTGCATCCTGAATCAATAGGGCAGAAATTAATCTTTAATCTTTTCAAGTGCAGTTTTAGTATGTTCTTGTGACGATGAAACCGTTAGCTTTGCAGGTATCAGATTGTCAACAAAAATGTCTCTGGTCAACTACATTTTGGAGGATAAACAATGCTATTTATACAGGTTTTATAATGAATTCAGCAGACACTTTTATCCAAAGTGCAATCAAGGTATACATTTTATCAGTTCGTTCATTCCCTGGGAATCAAACCCAAAACCTTGTGCTATCCTGCATTATTGCTTTAAGTAGAAAGTTGGAAATTCCCACTTTCCTAGTTGAAAGTTTAAAGGAATAGTTCACCCAAAAAATTGAAATCTGCTTAAAATGTACTCCTCATCAGGCCATCCAAGATGTAGATGAATTAGTTTCTTCATGGGAACAGATTTGGAGAAATGTAGCATAACATCACTTGCTCACCAATGGATCCACTGCAGTGAATGGGTGCCGTCAGAATGAGAGTCCAAACAGCTGATAAAAACATCACAATAATCCACAAGTAATCCACACCACTCCAGTCCATCAGTTCTGTAACTTGTGAAGCGAAAAATTGCGTGTTTGTATGATACAAATACAATATTAAGGCGTTTAAGTTTAAACTGTCGCTTTGAGCCATAAAATACAAGCCCAGAATCTATAATATCACTTCCTCCAGTGAAAAAGTCCATCCCCTGTTGTCCTGTTGTAAAATAAACCGACATACACTACCAGTCAAACGTTTTTGAACAGTAAGATTTTTTATGTTTTTAAAGAAGTCTCTTCTGCTCACAAAGCCTGCATTTTTTTGATCCAAAGAGCAGCAAAAATAGTATTATTGTAAAATATTTTTACAATTTAAAATTTCTATTTGAATATATTTTTAAAATGGCTGAATTTTAGCATCATTACTCCAGCCACATGATCATTCTGATTTGCTGCTCAAAAAACATTTATTATTACTATGTTGAAAACAGCTGAGTAGAATGTTTTCAGGTTTCTTTGATGAATAGAAAGTTCAGAAGAACAGCATTTATCTGAAAAAGAAATCGTTTGTTACATTATAAATGTCTTTATCATCACCTTTGATCAATTTAAAGCATCCTTGCTAAATAAAAGTATTAATTTAGCTGTATTTTGGATCAAATAAATGCAGGCTTAGTGAGCAGAAGATAATTCTTTAAAAAACATAAAAATCTTACTGTTCAAAAACTTTTGACTGTTAGTTTATTTGTTTAGAACTGTTTTACAATGTTTTCGCTTGTAAACTGTGCTTAATCTGTGCATATTTCTCTCCTGATTCAGATTCAGATGAGACGGCTTTTTCACTGGATAAAGCAATATTATGAATAGAGGACTTATATTTAAGCCAGAATCAACAGTTTGAAGTTAACAACATTTTGGTGGATTTGTGTCCACCAAACATGCAGCTTTTTGTTTCACAAGACATTAATTGATGGACTGGAGTGGTGTGGATTACTTGTGGATTACTGTGATGTTTTAATCAGTTGTTTGGACTCTCATTCTGATGGCACCCATTCACTGAAGAGGATCCATTGATGAGCAAGTGATGTAATGCTACATTTCTCCAAATCTGATGAAGAAACAAACTCATCGACATCTTGGATGGCCTGCGGGTGAGTAAATTCACAGCAAATTTTCATTTTTGGACAAACTACTCCTTTAAGAATAACATCTTGGGTATTCTTTTTGGGTGATGGCAGATTTCTGAACACCTAAAATTCTTTAATATCCTGCGGTAATCCATAATTTCTCTGTATCACACGGACATGAACTACCAGCAGTCATTACAACCTCCATCTCTCTCCAGCAGCCTGTCTGTCAGTCGCCTATAATAGATGTAATTAGTAATTTCATGGCAAATCAACGATGATCACAATCACACATCTGGTGCTCATCGAAAATATCCTGGAATCAATTTCACGATTTGTAAAAAAAAAAAAAAAACTGCAGTAGATGAGTTTCATCAGTTCTGCACAAGAGCAGCATTGTAAGAACACAGATGAGCACTGAACAGACAATCAGCTCCGTCCAATTCAATTGTGCAGAGAGATGTCAGTTGAGACACTGAAGCTTGAGCCCAAAAAAAAGATTTTCCCAAAATCTAATTCTCAAGTTATGATACTGTCAGTGAATGAAAGCTTTGTTCTGTGAGAGGGGGATTTATCAGTGTGTAGAACATGAGCACCAAATCTCGGCATCTGATTTTGATTCATGAAAGCAAATTACTTTTACTTATCAAAGTCTTGTACTGCTTTCAGCCGTATTAAAGAAATATCTTCACTAAACACATCAGGGGAAAATTATGACGAACAAAATCTAATCTGTGTGAGTTTTCTTGCATTTTATAAGAATTTATGTCGTTGAATACAAGTAATAAGATTAAATTATCCTTTCTTCAAACACCTATTATAGAGTGATGGTAATATCACAATACTGTTTGTGTCTTACTACTATGTCAGCCCTTTTATGGCTATAGCTATTTTTCGGATGAAAGTTAAATTATTTTATATATTTTAATATATTTTAAAATGTAATGTATTCATGTGATGGCAAAGCTGAATTTTTAGCAGAAACTTGTTATTATCAATGCTGAAAACAGTTGTGCTGCATAACATTTTTGTGAAAACTAATACATTTTTTCAGGATTCTACAATTAATAAAAAGTACTAAGAGAAATAAATAGAAATATTTTTGTAATATATATATATATATATATATATATAGATCTTACATATAGATATACATATATACATACAGTATATATATATATATATATATACACACATATATATACCTACCGTACATACATACATAGCCTATGTATGAATGACTTTCTGGCTGACTTTTGTACTTTTTGCACTTTTTTGTCACATTGTACTGACAAGCAAAAATCATAAGGACTGAAAAATATCACACAGTGTACACCAGGTTCAGTGAGAGTCACCTTTAGTAGCGACAACCTCCACCAGTAAGAGGCGCAGACTGCGTGAACGAGCGTCCCGCGCGGGCAGCAGACGCAGCATGAGCAGACGGGCGCAGCAGCGCAGGAAACGCAGCTCCTCATCGGGACTGCGCAGACACGGATGCAACGGAAACGCTCGTGGTACTTCCTCCAGCCTGGAGAGAGAGAGAGAAAAAGAGAGAGACTATTGTATTCTATTGTATTTAAACTGTCATGCAAACAATCTGAAAATTGAAATTGTAAGAGACAGAAATTAATATCTTGTTTTATTTTATTTTAATTCAATTATATTATATTAGCACTATCTTTATTTTCTCCTTTTTCTTATTTGGCAACATGCAAAGCAAAAATTTCAATAAAGTACTTTGAAAAACTGCAAGAGACCGCAATTAACAGAAGGAATCATAACAGAAATGTTATTTATTTTTAACTCAAACTATAATATAATATAATTATATATTA